TATGACATACTCTGAATACCGGAATGATATTAGCAAGGGTAATGATAATCCTGATAACAAATTTGTATTGATTATGGTGATATGCTAACGCCAGTGATAATAATAATGCTAGTACTGGTAATGATAATGATGATAATCATATACAATATGTATTCGTATATATGTACACACATATGTGTGTGTGTATGCAGATTTTTTTTCTTTTGTATATATCAGAACATACACTACATATTTATATACTTGAACACACAGATGTGTGTCTATGTAGGCTACATACACATATATATATAGATAGATAGATAAATCCTTTGCGTGGTAAGCATTTGTACGTGTTTTTTCCTCATATTTCTCATGAGCTCGTTTTTAGTATGATAGTATAATAATGAAATATCAATAATTTCATGCGATGCGTTTGTCACAGTTAGAAAGAAAGACTAGTCCATAATTTGAAATATATATCTATATATGTGTGTATCTGTCTACAATTACATTAATATTCTGGGTATAGAAATACAAAACTCCACCAATAATATAACCACAAACAAACAAGGCAATATTTTTTTACAAAGAAAATCGCCAAATGTCTCGCCTTCTTAAACATATCGACATCGGAGAGTGAAGGTCAGGGCTGTCAAACACCCGGGCCGCCTCACTCCCTTGTGCGGCCTGCGGCACATTCGCTATTTCAGTCGGCGTTTGAAATGAGTAATTAAGCCAGCCTTTTGTCTTTAAAGATTATTACTTACACTCTCACACGGTTTTTTATATTATTGTGTTTCTCTAATGAATGAAATATCCCAGGTGTGTCGTAATTATGGTCTGTGGGCTAATTGTTTGCCCTGGGATGATCATAAGTGGCCCGCGAGGTGACAAGAAAAATCAACCTGTGGAATTATGATAGCCATGAAGGAAAATGTTGTCGTATACAAATTGTTACCATTAGTATCGCCATTTAAGATCTGATAAGTAATATAAACTTTACGTACAAGTACATAATACGAGTTTGGTAACGTAAACCTGCAAAACTGAAAGGAGAATTGGCCCGCGAAGGGTTATGAGTTTGACCTGGTGTAGGTGATAAGGACTTCTGGCACAGGTCACTCACCACCTTCCGTGTGTCCGTGAATGCATTTTTACGAAATTCATGATGCTTTGCAAAATGTTTACCTAGAAATACTTTTTTCTTCAAAACCATGTGTTGTACACTATTTTCATAAAGCTGAACACACACACACACACATAAATGTTTGTGTGTGTGTGTGTGTGTCCATATGAATGATATATTTGTGTATCTACACCCATATCTAATTATTTATTTATGAATAGATATATATAGTGTGTGTTTGTGTTCGTATTTGCGTGGTGTGTATGGGTATGGCTGTGTATGTTCTTTTTTGGCAACGAGAGGATCTTACTAGGCTGCAGGTCCGTGCCACAGAAATAGAAAGGCCAAAGAAGTGGAAGCCAGATCACAGTCAGGTTAGCGATGTTGCTTAACACCATCAGCAGAAGCCGCAGACTTCTTCATGAAGGATATACTTCCACACTGGGCACTATATTCGTCTCATTAATAGGTTGTAAGTTATGGTTCATAAAAGATTGAACAGTTAATGAACTACTATAAGCATTTTTCCTTTGCTGGCCTCTTTAGAAAATAATAAGGTATGACCATTATGATTCATAATTTTTAAAAGCAAATTATACGTGAGGAAATGGGCGCCTGCTTAAAAAATGGGTAGGGAATGTCCGCCCGCACAAAACTTCAAACAGAGAAATTGCGCATGTGTACATCTGTGTGCATTTCCACACCACGACTCAGATACATATGAGAAAAACCAGTGTCATCTAAAGCGGAGTTACTTGACCTTAAAACAAAAATCACGCTGTATATAAGATCACCTCCTTTGTTCTGCCTCAGTATCATCTTTCATTTTCATGATGGTAAGACCTCTTCCGCAGAGTGAATACGGAATTCAACTCTTGCGAGAAGTTCATGCTTACTATATGTCATGAATATAGACAGGAAAAAGTGTTCTCATATTAACGAAATACGTAATGCAAGATAGCCCGTTGCTTTCAGAGACGGATTGTCTTGCTGGTGTTGGGCTTGGTCGTCGGGTCGGCCCACAGCAGCTGCCTGAGCGGAGGCTGTGGCGGAGGATCCTCTGGTGGCGTCAGCCGCTCCTACGGAGGACCCACCAATAGCTTCGGAGGAGGAGGCGGATCCTTCGGGGGAGGATCCCTTGGAGGCGGGTCCTTCGGGGGAAGATCCTTTGGAGGCGGATCCTTCGGGGGAGGATCCTTTGGAGGCGGATCCTTCGGTGGAGGATCCTTTGGTGGTGGTTCGTTCGGAGGAGGATCTGGAGGTGGCGGTGGAGGAGGAATAAGTACCAGATATGGAGGACCAACCAATAGCTTCGGTGGAGGAGGTGGCGGTGGCTCCTTTGGAGGAGGAGTATCCTTCGGAGGAGGATCCTTCGTGGTGGGTCCTCAGGAGTAA